CATGTTTGGCATTATTTCCAGTGCGTCGAATAGTTGTTCTGTTGTAGTACAGTTGGAACTCCGACGTAAAAATTGTTATCATGTTTGGCATTGTAGCCATTACGTCGAGCAGTTGTTCTGATGCAGTACAGTTCGAACTCTGACGTAAAAGTCTATTTGTATCGTGGGTTGACGGATTCATATAATGCGTCGAACGCAGGTACAATTTAGCAACCTCAAAAGGGGTTAGTCGCTTGGAGCGACAATGCGATATTTGCATGTTTTTAATGCTAGTTCTGTGTAATTTCAGGAAATTCAACCCATAGTAGGGTATGGACACACGCCTAAATGAACACTGGAACACAAGTTGTCCTTATAAGATAGATACAAGTGTGATATAAATAAGATGCTTTGGACTGATTCAAGAAGACTACTTGGTTGGATTGAGATCCATATAAGACAGATACAAGAAATACAACCCATAGTAGGATATGGACACAAGCCTAAGTGAACTCTGGAACACATTTTGTCCATACAAGATAGATACAAGCGTGATATAGGTTAGATGCTTTGAGCTGATTAATAGAAGACTTTACTTTGTTGGATTGAGATCCATAGAAGATAGATACATGTACGTGTGATACAGTGAAGATGCCTTGGACTGATTCAAGGAAGACTACCTTTGTTGGAAGTCTCAAGGAAGAGACATTTCGAGCTTTGGACACTAGTTTGCCCGTTTTTTAGGAGGTTCTGGCGTAGCTGCTGGCTCGAATTTAATCCTATAATATATGTGATATTATGTTGTGTGGTTTGTGGTGAAGACTGTTTAATTAGGAAATAATTAAAATTCAACACGTTTGAAATTAGAGTTGAATTATTTTATTTCCGGTTGATATAACGTCTTAGCGTTAGTGAAATCGAACGCGATTTTAACTGATTGGATAACATGATGTGATCATGAGTAGGTTATGTGAGTGGATGCACGATGGGATCGTGTTATTCTGCGAGTAGCAACCGAAGCGTTTATACACAGTTTTAGTTAATGTTGTAAGTTGTCATACAACCGATTCGAAAATTTAGTTTTATTGTTCGAGGAGGCATACCTTTTTCCCTTTCGAAAGTCACAAAGATTTTGATCTGGGTTTTAACGGTGTCAGGTCGATAAACTAAAGTTTTTCATATTGAAGTCAACGAACACTTTCTTTAGTGCTATTGACCAAATCAACGTTTTTGAATGAACGTGTTCTGACGTTGATGTAACCTGTTCCCAATAATTACTATTTTGGGAAGTATATTTTTCTGCAATTATTACAAAGCATTGCATAGCATAGGATGTTAATTAAGTTAATTAAAACATTTAGATATTAGGTTTCTAAGAAGCAATTATGTAATGTGCATATAAATCTGAAACTCAAGGCATGGCTTTTTACTGACAGCGCATTGAATCTAAATGAATAAATATGTATTTAAGTGCGTTTCTGTCATATTGTTTCAAGGAAGGCACAAAGTTTTGCTTTTAAAGATATTGATTATATCCGAAAGTCCTTCATATTTTTAGATATGTAATATCTATTTCCAGAAGGGCATCAATTTTGGTAATTTAGTTGATAGTTGTGTTTCTTTACAACATTTACAGTAGTTGTGTTATATCAGTGTGACAAACACATTAAGAGAAGTGCTTGTCAACTATTTGCATTTTATATTAAACAGATAGTATTTAGATTTACAACGTTTCGAAGAATTGTTCTTTTGCTTTTGTTGCAATACGAGATAAGTTTGTATTAAGGTTTGCAAAGCATGGTGCTTTCCAGATATTATATTGTTCATCACAATAGTTTTAGAAGATCGTATGATTTTTGTAGTCCGGTCGTGTATTCTTGTGATAATCACGGAATTTTTGTATTTTGTGACCAACAATGTCGCATATTACGACAGTTTATTAAGGAAGGAAGTTTCATTAACTTTCTGAGTTACGTGTTTTGCCAAAAGGCAATGTTATGGTTACAGTGCAAGTCTGTAGACAGTGATTTAGATTATTGTTATGTATTAATGACAGTGCGTGATTACTGTATTAGATAGTGAGGCATGTTACTTACAGATTTTGCATAGTGCTACTAGAAGGCACTATATACATGTACGGTCCTTATACAAGTTTTTTATATTGCAAGTTGACAGATAGTCACAATTTAGAATTGGTTTATTCCGAAATTTGTGAATTAATTTGAGATCTTGGACGTGTTAACAAACGTGTAGCCACAATGGTTTTAATGACAGAAGATCATTAGATATGGATGGGTTGTTGGATTTAGATGTTTTAATTAGGCACAAGGTGCCTTATTGATGCCTTGAAGGCAGTTAAACATCGTAAATCAGCAGCGAGGTTGGGAGCCGAGGACGGATGTTGGGTATATTTGAACCTAAGAGGTTTCTGGCATTAATGCCATCGGCATCGTGGCCGCTATGACATTGGCATCGTGGCCGTCATAGGTACCTGGATGCATCGCGGCCTGGCTACATTTTTTCTTTTTTTCACTCATTCTTTGTATCCGATGTACTTAATGCTATTCCAATAAACGCGGGCTGCTGGCTCGAATTTAATCCTATAATATATGTGATATTATGTTGTGTGGTTTGTGGTGAAGACTGTTTAATTAGGAAATAAGTAATGTTAGTGTGAAGAGGTCAGTGGTTTCAGTAACTTTCTGCACAAGGGGCAGATGAAAAAAACAAGAGGCGCCATTCAAAACAACCATTTTTTTTCACTCCCGGAAACGCAAATTCTTGTCCAAGGACAGAAAGTGAACAAATGAACAAGGGCATGGACAGGCTTTGCCAAAAATGATATAAAATTCTGATGTAGATTATATTTCCAAGACAATGTATCTGAAATACAATATTATTGTACAGTCAATCAAAGTTTTGAACTTTGAATCCTATTAAGAGGTGATTTACAAGATGTCCAGGGTTTTACTTTTTGCAGGGTTTTCAAACTCATTTCCCCGTGTGATATTTTGTCGGCAAAAAACAAGTGAGGATGAATGCAATGCATCGGTGTGAATTATGTGTTAGTGTAATCTCTCAAAGTTAGTTTTTAATAAATTCATGATATTTTGAACAAACGGTCCTTCAAAAAAAACATTTTTGAAATTAATAAAAGATTCACATTTCACACTTAGTTAATATTGGATAAGCCAAAGTTTATATTGGACCTTTAACTGATTAAATATGTACTGTGACTGGTAGAACATAGTTGCATCAATCATGCATTTATCTGCATGTCCCATGGAAAATAAGGTACAAATAATAAACAAGGAAGTGCAAAATAAGATCGCTAAATCAAATAAAGCATAGTCTACTATAGAAGACTTTTAATTTCCCCCAAACTAAGACAACATTTGGCTTCTGACAAACGGCGAATTATCGAAAACAAACGGCGATTTTAGGCGCTCGCCCCTGCTATTGAGAGCCCAGGAGGTAGGCTAAAAAGTCACATCCGTGGGAGTATTTTAGCAGGTCCCACTCGGATCCGTGAAAAGGTCAAGGAGCAGGGGATCGATGGAGGCTTCATAACAGACTTGTTCGAGATTGTCTTCCTGTGGGAGTGACAAATGATCCGTGAAAAGGTCAAAGAGCAGGGGATCGATGGAGGCTTCATAACAGACTTGTTCGAGATTGTCTTCCTGTGGGAATGACAAATGATCCTGCATGTTTTAAGTGACGTATGGACCGATGTCCTCGGATCCTGTAGACGATTTAATTGTTTAATCAAAGAGATTGAACGTTTGGTACATAAACAAGGTGTTGTAACAAGTTGAGATATTCATTAACCTGATATAAGGTCTGTCAAAGTGTTGTTTCTTTAAAATAAAATGGGACATATTGTGGCGCGGGATAAGTACAGATTAAAAGAAACTCCTGTAGTCCCTGAGAAGTTTAAAATGATTCCTTGGGTTTGTTAACGTTGGCTTTTATCGTAGATTTATTCGAGGATTGTGAATCATAGGTGCAAAATTGTGCAAAATCCTTAAATGTTGGTGCACGAATTTCAAGTCAGTCAGAGAATATGCTGTATCTTATGACTGGGATCAGGATCATAAATGTAGAGCTGAGGCCATTCGCGAGTTTAAAACTGAAATACTAGATACAGTATGTAAAAGTCCCTGCTATGCAATCCCAAATATTGCAAATGCAATTGCCGCTATGTAACCTTTTAGCAATTTTTATGTGTTTTACAATTCTATTGATTGTTTGAAATAAAAATTGAAAATTGATTAATACTTCCGTAGCCTGGAAAACTTCCGTACAAGCTGCATAAGACGCCAGATTTGATGGGTCTTGGATTTGTTTGATATTGAGAGCATGTATAGGAAAGCAAGGGTTTCAGAAAGGCCTCGTTAAGGCCATTCTGATACTCATCACATCTTTCTGTCTTCAACCAGAAATATCATACTAGTGTGAAGCTAATAGAGGCCCGTGATGTGTTTAGGCTAAAATCTCCCGTTTAAGAACCCTTCCTCCAACCAATTAGAATTAAGATAAAGAAATTTGTTTACGTTAAAAAACGTCCGTTTAGTTAGAAAACGAAGACAAAGGTCCATACTTAATTTCAATGTAGTAATAAACATTATTTGAATGAACAATTTCGACCACACTAAGGTAAAGATAATATACACACCATGTGTAAGATGTTCCTAGATATTTCTTGTGAGTAAAAGTCGAACGCAGAATAACAATATGAGTCCAATTATAAATAAAATTGCAACAATTCCTCATCGCCCTCGTGCAGCATTTTAAAATACAGTTTATTCATTCAAATATTACTTTTCATGACTTCAAAAGTTTTTTGAGAATTTGTGGCATTTGAAAGAACTTTGTTCATCTTATAAATATCAAATGTTTAAATTTCCCTCCATTTTAAAAACAAAATTTAGATTTTTAGCTCAACAATACAACAATTAACACTACAAATCACATTATTTTTTAATCCTTTGAATTGATCAGACAAATGTGTTATAGTTAGAGTTGCGCGCGCATATTTAATGGAAGCTGGAAAAAATGGAGCTCCGTAAATAATCACCATTATCACCTATTTTATAAGTATCTCAGAGTCATACTAGTCTCAAACATACATATAAACATTACACAATACCTGGATATATATTTATGCTGGATATTTCCACGGACATTATCTAGGTGAGTCAACTAAATCAAGTTGAAATTTCAACATGGATTCATTAGATTTTGACATGGTTGAAAGAACCCTCCATAAGCTAGTTGAAGAGTCAACTGAAACTATTATGATTGAAATAGATCAAGATTATACAGATTCTGAATTGGATGTTATACGTGAGAGATTCTTTGAGATGGCTCAGTCTAGAGTTTTGGAAACGTGTGCTGCTTTGTTTGGCCCGCTTGCACAACGGGAACAAAATCAGTTACCGTCAAAATTAAAACCCGTGAGACGCACTGGTAGCAATAGAAAGTTGATGCTTTCTAAGGACATATGTGACCTATATCTTTACGTCAATGAACATTTGGACGATTTCCCACGTTCAGTGTTGAGCTCGGTATCGTTTCTTCCCGATGTAAAAAAGGCAAAACGACAAGCAGTGGACACAAAAGCTAAATCGGAACAACGGGACCATATAATTCGCCTGGAGTCGAAAGTTAGACAACTGAATACCAAGATCGTGGAGGTGGAATCAGAATGTAATAAAGTTATTACTACCCAGAGAAAGCGAATAGAAGTTTTAGAGACTGAGGTGAGCAATATGTCAACTATTCTTGACCAGATCTTACTATCGATAAATGTACCCAAGTCACCTACTAAGCCGGTAATTGGGCCTAATAATAACAGTGTATTGGAAACCGAGAGTACTCCTGAAAAGTCGGTCAACCCATTGAGTACAGACACAAACATTGTAATTATTGCAGATAAGTCCCCTAAGGAATTTGTCACTCAAACGGGGTCAATAATTGGTGCTAAACATCAAAATGTAAACAAAGCCAGTCCGGCGGACGACGAGACACGAACGGAACCTGTTCAGTTCGTACCTACATACAGTACGGCCGTCAAACTTGGCACCAACGCTCCTGCTGCTAAACGGCACGCTGAGCCACCCACGCGGCCCCATCTCAACAAGGCTACCTCATTTCCGAAATCTGCTAGGAATACTACAAAGCCCCTCAGTGGCCTGAAATTTGAGCGATCGAGGACACTCTACGTCAGCAACATTCGAATGGATTTCGATGACACTGACACAGATATTGAGGATCGTGTTAAGCGCCATGTGTCTTCCTTCAATGTAAATATCGTCAAAATCAATGTCATTCATAACCGCTTCAACAAGTTCAGAGTTGGATGTAAAATCGATGTGCCGGAATCGAATGTTGATGATGCCATGGATAGTGAAAATTGGCCTGATCCAATCGAAGTACGTATCTGGACCCGTTTCAAGAATCGCGGTCAATACACGGACAGCCATCCACGATATGATCAGCACCAGCGAGATGGAGCTACGCGTACTGAACCAGGAGCTACAGTAAATCGCACCAACCGCCATCCTCGTGATAATTACCGCCAAAACTCTGATGATCATGACTATCACTCGTATCCACGTCCTGATTATGACTGCGATAGCAATGGCGATCGCTACGACGACGATGATCGTCAGCCTGTGGATCGCAATAGTGTACGTAACTCTTATGACAATGACAACACACGTTATTCACGAGTCGGGGGTACTTATAATGACTATGATGAAGATGCATGGGATCACCGTCTGCAAGACAATAGTCACAAATATTTCACACGATACCCCGTGAGCACGGAGTACACTGACCATTCTTAATCTTCATTAACTTCGAACTGTAAATAGTGTAAATACGATGACTATTTTGAAAATTGCATGTTTTAACCTTAATGGATTTAATTCGTCTAAGGAATATCTTAACCAGCTTTTAACTGAGTTCGACGTTATTGGTGTTTCAGAGCATAAACTGTATCCTAATAATCTTAATAAAATGACTAATTTCAATAAGGATTTTAAGTGTTATGCTATAGCCAATAAATTGTTGAATCCAGCTAATTGTGGCATGATCTGGGGTAGTGGAGGTGTTGGAATATTCTGGCGGACCTCATTACAATACAGCGTTATACCAATGCATAAATTAAGCACAGATCGTATAATTTGTGTTCAAATTCGAACTCCTGTTCCCACTTTCATAATGTCTGTTTACTTACCTCAACAGCATTGTATGAATGATACATTCTCTGATGTTTTAGATAGTCTCTTTGAATTTATTTCACAGGCACAGCAAACTGGAAATGTCATTATAATTGGTGATGTCAACTGCCATTTTGGAACACTGTTTCCCCCTCCTAGAGGATGGGGTAATCCCACGGATAATGCACGATCCTTATTTAATTTATGTAGGGAGAAAGGTCTTATTGTCGCTGACATGAATAACCAGGCAGTTGGTCCTGTTGTTAGTTTTAACTCGTACACGCACCGTGCATGCATGTCATACATTGATCACTGTATTGTGTCCTCCTTTTTAAAACAGTATATAGTTAAATGTGGCCTCATTTACGAACAAGCAGCGAATCAAAGTGATCATGTACCCATATTTTTACATATTGATGTGTGTGATTTAAAGTACGATCTGAATTGTGAAGATAATGGTTCGCGTTTGGCGTGGCACAAACTGAGTAAATGCGACATAGAGTCAACGTATACACTAGCCTCTGAACATATGTGTGAACAATTTTACAATCGAATACTTAATGAATGTAACGGTCGAGATAACTGTTTAGATAATCACCAAGTTGACTATTTTATTGAGGAATTTTGTTCTATTTTGAAATCATTATCTCATGAATTTATACCTACTATAAAATATCGCAAGCATTTAAAGCCATTTTGGTCCAGTGAGTTAACTATACTTGTAAAAGAACGTAATAGAAGATGGAATGAATGGCGATGTGTAGGTCGTCCCAGAGAATGCACTAATGAATATAGAATACGATATCTTAAAGCTAAGAAACTATTCAGAAAATCTTATAAAGCTGAAGAATATAAATATGAACAGAATGAATTGAAAAGATTGTATGAATTGGAGGATTTAAATCCCCGGATGTATTGGCATTTGGTGCAAAAAAGCCGAGGTGGGTGTAAGGCTAACTCTAATTTAATCCGACGTACACATACCAATGAAATATTGTCAAACCCGAGTGATATTTGTGAAGAATGGCGAAATTACTTTAAAAACCTTGCCACTCCGGGCAATGATCCGAACTTCGATCCCAACCACGAATTGGTAGTCAACAACGCCATAGAGCGTATGTTGACTGAATCATTCGATTATGAGGATACCGTATTATGTGATCCTTTGACTGATGAAGAGGTCTTAAATGCTATTCTTTCCCTGAATTTGAAACGTGCAACTGGTTTTGACGATGTTTCAGCGGAACACCTCCGTTATGGCGGTAAATATGTTTGTTCCATAGTTAAGATATTAATACAAAATATAATTGACAATGAATTTATTCCATCAAATTTTCAAATGGGTATTTTATTGCCACTTTTAAAATCAGGTAACCGTGATCCATTAGAGCAGGACAATTTTAGAGGAATAACTCTCATGACAGTCTTAAGAAAGATCTTTGACAATATCATTCTAAGCAGAAGTAAGCCCACTATTTTAAAACATATTCCCCAACTGCAGGGGGCGTCACAAGATGGCTGCTCATCGGTTCACACCTCTCTGATTTTGCAAGAAGCAATAGCTCATAATCTCGATAAGGGAGAGAATGTTTATGTTTGTACAATTGATATTCGTAAAGCCTTTGATACTGTGTATTTGAATGGGCTACTTTTTAAACTATTTAATATAGGTATTAATGGAAAATTGTGGAGAATACTGCACAAGTCCTACAATAATTACAAATGCATGGTGCGAGTAAGTAACATGCTATCAGATCCATTCGATGTACTCCAGGGGGTCCATCAAGGTGGGGTCTATTCCATGCTGATGTACCAATTGTTCAATGCTGACTTACTAACTGATTTACAAGCCCTGGGCATAGGTGCATCGGTGGGGGAAATTGATGTCACCTGTCCTGCATATGCCGACGATACCTCTTTTCTTACTACTAGTACGACATCTATGAATACATTACTTAATTTAGCTTATAATCACAGTATGAAATGGAGATATGAGATTCATCCTGGCAAATGCAATATAATGATTTATGGTGATAGACATCATGCAGTGGAACCAGTGTTTAAAATTGGTAATAGAAATGTTAACGTTGTTCAGAAACAAATACATGTAGGTATACCATTATCAGTTAATGGTGACATTACTGATTTTATTGACAATGCTATAAGCTCAGGTAAACGGAAATACTATTCACTCCTCGGGTTGGGTGGCAACTGTGGGGGACTTTGTCCTTTAACAGCATCACGACTATATTGGGCATTGTCTGTTCCTACAATGCTCTATGGAAGCCCTTTAATAACATACTCAGGCAGGGACATAGAAAAACTTGAATTAGTACACAGAACAATTGGTAAGCGTATTCAATGCCTACCAAAATTTTCAGACAACATATTTGCCACCGAGCCTCTGGGTTGGTTGAATTTAGAATTCAGAATTGTAATAGATAAACTGATGTTTTTCTTAATGCTAATGAAATTGCCAATCAAAAATATTTACAAACAAATCCTCATATTTCGAGCCACCGAATTAGAGCATAATGATAATATCGGAGTTGTATCTCCTATTCATACGATTTGGAATACTCTGATAAGGTTCAATTTGTTGGACACGGCAAAGAACATGTTAAACACTGGTATTTATCCCTCAAAATCAGAGTGGCACAAGTTAGTATTAGGACGGGTAAGATACACTCAGAAACTTAACTTAATGATTAACTGTACTTTGAAATATTCTACCCATTTGTATATTCGAATAAGATGTTCATTTAAACCACTAATCTGGTGGGTACTGTGCAACAGATATCCTGATAAATGCATGTATTTTAAACTAATGGTTAAGCTCTTAACAAACCAAACACTGAATGGAAACAATAAATGGGGCAATAAAAAATGCCTTATATGTAATTCTGGTGAGATTGAGACATTAGAACATTTTACTATATTTTGTAGCTCTTTAGATGCTGAAAGGGTAGCTCTACTAGCACTTTTTAAAATGGGAGAAGATAATGTACTCCAGATTTTTAAAGAGGATGATGATTTTAATATGATTTTAAAGGCCAAGGCAATTTATTTTATGTATAAAAAACGCAACATGTTGATGTAAATATGTTTGGACAAAATATTGAAAATTGTAATGTACTCACATAGTAATAATGTGGTAATAAAGGATACAATACAATACAATATAGTATCTGCGCCATTCAATGTATCAATTTATGCATATATAAAAACAAAATTTTAAAAAATGTAATGTCGACGAGGATACCCTGTCAAGCATTCAGGTTGGATAATATTTTTAAAACTTTTTTAAAGTTTTAAAATCAACCAATCATTTACCCTATCTAGGTTTATCATGTTTTAAATATTTTCGTACCATTCACAATTTATCATTTCTGAACATTTCGTGACCTTGATATCCGAAAATAACAGTTTTCATTATTTTATGATATGACGATAGATTCACTTTATTAGAGAATGGACAGCTACGAGGAGTAGTTTTTCATTTTACTGTTCAAGGTTTTGACATAAAAGAAATATCGATAAACGATTACATAAGAGGTGGGTGTGAAATAAACCAAAAATCGTACCTCAAACAACATCAAAGTAGTCGGACATTTTCCATTGTATACTGTAGATACTGTACACGCCACTCGGAGACATCCATGTAGTCGGACATTTCCTATTGTAAATACTGTACACGCACCTAAGATATATCCATGTAGTCGGACATTTTCCATTGTAAATACTGTACACGCACCTCGGAGACATCCATGTAGTCGGATATTTCCTATTGTAAATACTGCACACGCACCTCAGAGACATCCATGTAGTTTGACATTTTCTATTGTAAATACTGTACACGCACCTCAAACAACATCAATGTAGTTGGACATTTTCCATTGTACTGTATACGCACCTCAGAGACATCCATGTAGTCGGACATTTTCCATTGTAAATACTGTACACGCACCTCAAACAACATCAATGTAGTTGGACATTTTCCATTGTAAATACTGTATACGCACCTCAGAGACATCCATGTAATCGGACATTTCCTATTGTAAATATTGTACACACACCTCGGAGACATCCATGTAGTCGGACATTTCCTATTGTAAATATTGTACACACACCTCAGAGACATCCATGTAGTCGGACATTTTCCATTATAGGTACTGTAGAAGTACTCAAAACTTCAATTTAGGCATTCCCATTGTAAATACTTTAAAGACACCTAAAGTACCCACAGTCAGATCAAGCATTAACAGTTATTGTTTTTGTTTTCATACAATGGTATTTCCACGTAAAACAGATATAATGGAGTTTAAGCTAGCATATATAATCGAAACGCCAACCTATCAGTATGACCAATCGCCCATACAAACGCATCCCTTAAATAATTTCCGCTCTAGTTTAGGTTGTGAAAAACATCGCAAGCTTAAACTCCCTATTAACTACTAGTCAACAGCTGGAAATTGATTCCGACATTGCCAAATACTAACAATTATTGGTCAGGAACCCTGCCAATATTCAAAATATAGCCTATAATTATCAAACTAACATTTGTCTTATTGGCATGGTGAATGTGAAGTTTCAAACCCCTACTGTTATTGAAGTTATTTTTGACA